ATATGATCTCTATTTCAGATTTATGAATTTTACTCTAAATTTTCAAAGCATATTTAAGATATTATTTGAAATTTCATAATATATTTATGAATTTTTCCCATATATTATAGATCTCTAATGTGCAATCTATATTCATTGAGTAAAAAATCAAAGTTTCAATGCAAAATAGATGGAAAACATTGCTGAGTTTATTTTCTATTTAGAAAAAATAACTGCTCAAGGTAATATGACACAAAACATCTGCAATATTATGAGAAAAAATTACTCAAGTCCTACTACCCAAGATGAGAAAAACAATAAAAAGGTAAGAAGTAAATTCATAAACTTGTATCGAAATCGGAAAATATTTGATCGTGGAGAAGAAAAAGAGCTTAGGAGTACAGGTTCAAGATAGGGTAACATTAAATAAATTTGCCCAAAACGATATCATTTTATAAATTGAATAAAAAAATCAATGTGAAGCTAGGAAAGAAATGAGAAATTCAGACTTAAACATACAAGTGTTTGATGATGAGAGAACAAAAATACCCCAAAAATTCATGTTCAAGTTACAAGAACATGTGATTGGAAAAAAAAAAAAGTGGGCATTTTAGGTTTTGAGGCGTTATTAAGATAAAAAAGAAAGAAGTTTTTTGACGAAGGTTCTTCTTGTGAGAAATGATGCTAAATAGAAGAGTATAAGGAAAAACCTGTCAAACAGAAAAAGATACAAAACCCAAATAAAATTTTACATATCTTTTCCTAGATTTGTCGCTCCTTGAAGTATGGATCTAAACATAGTAAATGGTTTTCTAGGTAGCTTTGTGGCTCTTTCAACTGAGAACTTGATCTTCCAGACCCTAGCATGAGATAATGGCAGATAATGGAGGAAGGTTGTAGAGACGGTAGTTTAGAGAAGAGTTGCAGGGAGTCGCAAAGAGGGCTGAGAGAGAGAGCTTGGCTAGGGCTAGCAGTTGAGAGATTGTGAGGGTCTCAGAAAGAGAGAGGAGGGTTGCAGGTGGTTTTGTGAGGAACTCGCAGCCATAGGCTTCATTTGATAAATTAGTTCGGGTGAGAAACAGTTCCTAAGCTCCTACCCACTTCATAAGGTATGGAAATTTTCTCATACCGATTGGTTTATGTTTTGGTAAACTATTCTGCCATGGGATAAATTTTCATATGTATTGCGCACAAATCAAACGTGTGTAATATATAATTCACATGAGAACTCTTTCATGTAATTCTTTTCATCAAAGTCACAAAATTGTCCCTCTAATCAAGGTTTTTAGGGATGAAATAATAATTTTTTTTATAATACGTTATAGGGAAAATATCAATTAAGGGGTTGAAACTCCTTACAAAATTACTAAAGGGATCAAAAGATTATAAATTATATTTGAGGGTTTGCTCTTAAATTTTTATTTCAATCAGATACATCCTTAAAAAAAAATAAAAAATTCCTAGATTACTTTCTTTGCGGTTGGAAAGCCCAAAAATTAGGAGCACTTGATAATTTTACCCCCCAAAAGGCCTTAATGGAATGAAATAAGTACCTTCACTCGTTCGGGGTAAGAATTAACAAACAGTTTATTTGGTATTTAAAATGATGAACAATAAGGGATATTTACATCATTTGACATAGAGATGCTTCTATCATTCTGTTACGTTATTTGATATAGAGGCTGTGTAAAATAATGTAAATACTCTTCATTTTTATTGATTTCAAATACTGAACAAATTGTTTGTTATTTTTTTACAGTAACAAATTGTTTGTTATTTCTATCTCCAAACAAGAAGGGGTAATATCATTCCTTTAAGCAATTTACATTCCACTACAGCCTCAAAAAAGACAGTGTATTTCCTCTATGCAAAAGTTATACTCCTCTAGGTTATTAAAAATTATGAGTTTCACGAGACTGAAACATGAAAAAATGCACATCTATATATTTTTCTATTATGACACATCTATTAATGCCCATCCATATAACTTTCTACAGGATGCCAAAATTAATCAAGATAAAGCATATGATTAGATGAATGAGAAAAGCTTCCCAACATCTACCTATGAATTTCATAAGAGAATTCTATTAAAAGATGTATATCTTGAGGCTCCTTCATTTAAATCATATCAAAAGTAAGCTGTCTAACAGATTCAACAATTTGATAACTTTACAAAATATTGTGAAATTGAGAAAATAATTTGGGTGCATTCTTCTAACCTGAAAACACTCATCACCTCAAATTTAAGACATGAAAAATTCACTACTAAACAACTCAAGCAACTATAAACCATTGTAATGTTGCTTACCAAAATCCACTTGATAGGGACTAGGAACATCTAATTGACAAGCATCAAATAGGCTTGTTGATGGAAGAAATTTTGTAGCTAATACAAAAAACTCATGTTGATGAGTGGATTCTGCAACATTTCAGGCCAACACGTGAGGCAACAGTAAAACTATTATATACACACACATAGTAGAATTATATGTAGTTCGTCAGTCCTCTCCCAAATAGCTCCAACGGCTACTTCAAGATTTATGATGTGTTGACACAAAGGAATCTCAACAGCACCTCGATGAAACTACACAAAAGAAATTTGCAACTCTCAAGGCCAAATCCAGGACCAAAGTAAAAATAAAAAGATGCAACACAACCACATGCAGTCTACATTAATTCCTTTCTTGAACAGCTCCACTGGTTTTGCAAATTGTATTGTGCCGCCATCAAGGGATCTCGCTAAGATGACCCCAATATTAATAAATGAAAAACAAAAAAGAAGAATGACCCATCACAAGTGGTGCTACCGTCACAAACCCAACCCCAACCCCAACCCTAACCCTATTCTTGAGTTTTTGAGGCTTGCCGATCACAAAAAGTAATAATGCTACAACCTTCAAAGTAATAAACTCCCCCCTTTGAATGAAAGGAACGTGTGAGGGAGATATATGTTGAAGTAATGGCGCAATTTCATTCTCTTCATCATTTTAAGCGAGAGAGACAGGGAGAGAGAATTGACGAAATAATGGCATAATTTTATTCATTGATGAATGGTTAAAAACAAATTGTATTTAAGGTTTTCAAAATGGGAAAACTATTAATACTTTTCCACCATATGCATCTTCCTAGTCATACAATTTGAATGAACAGTTATGATGACCCCAATCACAATGTCACACCTATACATTGTTCTATATTTTATTTTTTACTACAAAAACATTTTGACACCAAATTTGGGGCGTTCGCTCCTCTCTTAAACTTGCACTTCAAAAAATATATATATTCCATACAAAATAAAATGACCAATACCTCTGAAAGTTTTGGGAGCATTTTGATCATTTTATTTTTTAAAAAATATTTTATTAATATTATCTTTAGGTGCATCCATTGAGATGATGAACATACTAAATTTCATTATATGATTTATAGAAAAAAAATTTTTAAAAGAAATCTCTAAGACATCATATCCAGATCATATGGCCAGTGGTTTATTTGTCACATTTTGAGACAAGTAACCTCGGCTGTTCATTTAAATTGGACGACTGGATAGGAGGAGAAGTATATATGATGTGTATGGTGGGAAATTATAGAAATTTTCCCTTCTGAAATATAGTTTATCAAACAAGTTACTATGCATAAGAAATTGATTACATGATTTTCCAGATGCGTTTACTAACCATGGTAAAAAAACAAGTTTGAAAAGCTCTTTTCTATAAATTGTTTGTATACATAAATAATTGGACACGATTTCTATACGACCAACTTGCATATTGTAGAAATGCAGGCTTGGCAATAAATATATTTTTTAAATATAATTTGATCCTAATTTTTAGAGAATATATAACCTTTAACATGAAGATTATGAATATGGAAAAAAAATAAATAAATAGAAAATAAAAATAATTATATTAAGAAAACATTTGGACCGTGTAGATATGCAATCCAACTTGCATGAAACAATTTTCCTAAATAATTTTAAGGCCCCATTACTATGCGGCCAAGCCCTCTTATGTAGATAAATCTATTTTTGAGTCTATTTTAAGACTTAAGTTTTTAGAACATGTAATCTCTAACAAGGAGATCATGAATATAAAAAAATAAATCAATTTTAAAAATTAAAAATAATAATTATAATAAGAAAATATTTGGACCGTAAGTTTCCATTGTTTTTAGATGGAACACCTACTTGCATCCATCTTTAAGATGGATGCTTTACACTTTCTGGACCGCATATGTAGAAATACAGTCCAACCCGCATGAAACAATTTTACATAAGTTTGTATGAGCAAACCGTTTTGTATAAATCAACCATAACGTTGTTAAAAAAATACATATATTATTTCATCCTTACAAAACCCGATTGGAGGGACAATTTTGTAACTTATAATTTAGACTATGATGGATCCTGGCCCGACACAGATCTGCGAGTTGTCAATTTGTAACTATAGGATGCAAAAAGGGGTAAAAAAGATGCCCCACACTACTGAAGTTGAGCTGACCACCAACACAATGTTATGGATTTGCGAAAATATCTGTCCCCTTCCCACACAATGCCCAAATTTAGTACTCTGCCCTACTTGTTCAATGCTCAAGAACCTGGGTTAAGTTGTTGTTATGCTCTATTTTGATCCAACAAATTAAGATCATTTACTTACAAGTAATATCCCCTAACAATATTGGATATGCATAATAAATTAGTCTCATTTTCTAAATTCAAGGGATTTGTATAGGAAGGCAGAATCATGTTGGAATTAGATGATAATAAACTGAAGCCCAATCCCATAAAGAGTCGGATATTAGTCTTTCAAACACTAATCGCTTGCAGTTTTTGGATACATGGATTACATTCTAAAAAGAGGAATGAGCCATGCCAAGACTTTGAACATGATGAGAATTGCTCAAAAAAATGGCTAACTTCATGTCATTCTTATATTTGTGCCTTGGATTACAAAGGATAAGCATAGCAGCACAATAAAGAAAAGCTTGATCTGGCAAGCCAGAAGTATCTGCAACAATATATATTCAAGGATGGAACAACATTATATCAAATATATATTTAGCCCAAATGGTAAGCATAGTAGATATAAATAGCGGCCTGAGTTTGCTAGCCAGAAATATATATTACAATACATATCCAAGAAAGGAGAAAAAATATATGGATCTATCTAAACCCAAATGGTGAAAGAGAGCACTCACAACTATGACTTGCATGAGAGGAAATTGAGACATCCTTGAACAATTCGTGTTCAAAAAATGAAACACGATTTACAAGCCATAGAAACCACAGGTAAAGACTGGGTTGCCTTAATCAAGTGTTGTTCAATTGTAAGTCCACCAAATGTCAGCATTCCATAATTTATTCAAAAGTGAAAATTTGCCTTCCGGGTAAATTTAAAATGGACTCCGAAAGATACAAAAGACAACTACAATGTTCAAATTAAATATCATTGAACCCAAAACCAAATGGGAAAGGTATACATGGCTCAGCTTTAGGTGACCTTCACATTCAAGAACCGTATCCTCGTGTTTCCCATTCATTCAAATGCTTCTTGTTTTCTAAACCTAAGTCTTCTTTTCTTTCCTTGATTCCTTCTTCTTCACCTTGAGAATAATCCTCCATATCCTCAGCAATCTCGATATTCTCATCATCTCCATGCTTAATCTCTACAACTCCAAAATTACAAACTTCTTGAGGGAGTGTCATCTTCAATTTCATTACGAAGAGTTGGATGCTCAAATGCTGATACTAGGGATCCATCTATGTAGAACGTGAGATATTACATGATCCGTTGCCATACGACAAAGTTACCAAATATACTTGGGATTCGTCTATGCAGAAGGTGAGATATTACATCATCAGTTGCCATACAACAAAGTTACCCAATAATTCTCACCTATTCATATGCAGTAATTGGGCCATAAACTCAAAAGAGAAAATATAGAAAGGATAAAAAGGAACAAAAAAGAAAACTCACCTTTGATTTAGGTATGCTTTTAACTTCGTAGTTGGTCTTCCACATGTTCATCATTTTCTCATGGACATTAGTGGACCGAAGCTCATATCCCAACTGAGTAAAAAATGCAGCAACGGATAAATCCAAACAGTAAATATGGTGCCAACACATCATTATGAAAAGAAGTCATATACACATGAGCTGGAACTAGCTAACCACGATAGTAGTTTTTGGTCCAAATAACGCATTTAAGGTTGCCACTGGTGGATCCAAAAGATGCTCTGGATAAACCTTGAGATACGAAAAAGCAATAAATCTCTCCATATTCTTATAAAAACTAAATGCAACTCTGAATGCTAATGAATCGATCACACAGAAACACTACCAGTACATAGAAAATGAAAGTCGGGCTGTGTGACATGTAGGAAGACAGTGTTCACTACCAAAGCAAGCCGACTTTCGAAGTTGAACAATAAACTCCAAAACTAGGTGAAATTTACAAACTATTTTGGAAAGAAAAAAGTGTCAATTATGGGAATCAACCTAGCTCAAGAACACAGAATAATAGAAAAGAAAAACCATAGGTACATTCCCATTTTTTCATTTATAAAACTTGTTTACTAAACAAGTCAAGTTGCTCAGTCAATTTGTGCTACTTATAGATGAGACTTTATTTACTGAATTCATATATACACTCGAGCTTATTAAACCAATAAACCTGATATGATTAGAATTGCAGAAGATCACTAAAGAGCATCAGTTAGGGTACTAATTTTCAGGAACAATAAAGCTTTGCATACAGGACATAAAATAGGCACGAGAATTGAAAAGGATTAAAGTGCACAAACGAGACATTTTCATATTCTCAATTGTTTTCTCAGCAAATGCAATGATTAGAAATGAAAAACTACATGGAGTGTCCAATGAATTGTACAAGATTTATAAGCAAAGACTAAGCTTAAGATTTGACCTAGTCTTGGGCTGAGTCAACTCAAGAGCACTCTACAAAACACTACATGAGCTGACTAAGTCTTTCAGATAAAAAGAAAAAGAAAAAGAACCACAAGACTCACCAAGTAGATGAGGTTAGACAACTAAACTGGCTGATCTTTCAAACACCGGGATTGTGGAACCTCGTGCTAAAAAGAGGCAATGAGAACGGTAAAATGCCTAAGTCTAGCATAAACTCCAAATTCCTTTGCATGGTAAAACTACAGACCAAAAAACATAAGAATCTCTCTCTCTCTC